CATCACCCCGTATCATCACATCACCCCGTATCATCACATCACCCCGTATCATCACATCACCCCGTATCATCACATCATCCCGTATCATCACATCACCCCGTATCATCACATCACCCCGTATCATCACATCACATGAAAAACTATATAGGAAAAGAGAAATTAACAAAATAATTAATTTAGAAAAAATAGCCACAAAGAAATTTATGAATAAAGAAAAAGAGCAATTTAGAAAATACAGAATTTAGAAAAACAGCAATATAGAAATTGCCGAATTTAGAAAAAAGAGTAATATCGATAATATTAAATTCAGAAAAAGAGCAATATAGAAAATATAAAATAAAGATATACAGCGCTAAAAAAATTGATTATAAAAATACCGTCGAAATAATGGAAGTGTGAAAGAAAGGAAAGAAATGCAAGTAAATGGAATAAAGACTAATGGATTTATAAAAATACTATTGGAAGACGAAAAATGAAAATAAGTATATACTATAATTATATTATATACCTGTATATAATATAATACCAAATTTATTTTAAACATCGCGCCAAAATTATTTATAAATACTGTTAGTATATAAAATAAGAAAAAATGGCTATATATACGCTGGGGAATAAGTTAATTATTTAAAATACCATTAGCATATAAAAATAATGGATATATATATGGTGGATAAAATACATTAGTATTTAAATAAGAAAATAATGTGTGTGTATATGTGTTGGAAATGGTATATAAAATAAGAAAAAAAGGCTATATATATGGTGGGGAAAAATTATTTTCAAATGCCATGAGTATATAAAATAAGAAAAAATAGCTATATATAAGTTGGGGAATAACCATTAGTATATAAAATAATAAAAAAATTGCTATATATATGTTGGGGAATAACCATTAGTATATAAAATAATAAAAATTGCTATATATATGTTGGGGAATAACCATTAGTATATAAAATAATAAAAAATGGCTATATATATGTTGGGGAATAACCATTAGTATATAAAATAATAAAAAATTGCTATATATAAGTTGGGGAATAACCATTAGTATATAAAATAATAAAAAATTGCTATATATAAGTTGGGGAATAACCATTAGTATATAAAATAATAAAAAAATTGCTATATATATGTTGGGGAATAACCATTAGTATATAAAATAAGAAAAATTGCTATATATATGTTGGGGAATAACCATTAGTATATAAAATAATAAAAAA